GCGCTGATTGGCTGAAATCGGCTATCCGGAGTACGCCCATTTACGTTTCTACCCAGCCAATAGGACAGGAGAGGACTAGATAGAGATAAAACGACTGGAGGAGAGGAGAGGAGTTTTAATGAAATTGATAAGCTTGATGGTACGTGTGTTTGGATGTGATAGCATGAGAGTGTGGGTCATTAAGCTGTTTTTGTGCATTTTTGGATTTAATTTGGCTGTTCTTTGTGGTACTGTCCATAAGGTCATGTGGAATTTTGTCTCCATACGTACGTGTGCGTATAGTCTGTCTATGGTTTCTGTGTCGTTGACTTGTTCTATTGGAATCCTCCGGAGAGTTTCCTTTGGCTGCGTCTGTGCTTTGTGCTACTGGTGGATAAGTTAGTGTGTTGGCGTCATATCTCTGTATAGTTTGTTTCAGCCTTGGCCAGGGTGGCGATGAGAATTTGAATCTGTAATCCAATGTTTGTCCTTGTTGTAGTGTTTTGGTTTCGTCTAGTGCTAGTAGTCCTTCGTCGTTCACTGTTGTCCAGTATGTGTTTGATGCGAGTTTAATTGCTTGTGATTTCATGTTATCATAGTTGATTGATGTGGCTGCTGTAATTTCCTTAGGATTCCTAGGTTGTCTTGCGATAAGTACGCGTACGGAGTTGTGTTGAGTGCGGGGACATCTTGTTGTGTAGTGCCGGTGAGACTGTGTTGTGGAGGCACGAAATAACTAGGGCGAATATGACCAGTGTCGAAGTGGCAATAGTCAAAGGCATTTTGTATTGAACCATAAGGGTCTCTAAATGGTATGCCATCATCGTTGACAGCCCGAAACTCGAAAAATTGATAGGGTATGCATGTGACGTAGAATTGTGTAATTCCTGTGTCTGCAGGCTTGTATTGGGCGACTGTGAGGTGTTGTTTTCTTGTGAGTGTGACCTCAAATTTGTAGTAGTGTATTTTGAATAAATCATTGGCGTGTTGGAGTGCTCCTGCGTTTGAGCTTCTTCCGCCCCCATCTTCGTCGAATTCAACATCAGCATCCATAGCAGGACGTTTGGCCATAGGAGGTTTTTGTAGGTGTTCTCTAGGGTCTAGCTTGACTTCTAGTTGTTGTGGTGGTTGTACCGGAAATGTGACTGGTGGCTGTTGAGGTGGTGCTGCTTGGTCCTTCTCTTTTACTCGAATGATGATCTGTTTTTGCTTCATGTGTTTATATAACTGTTGGACGAAATATTGTCGTTCCTCTAGCGGAGGTATTTCATATCCGGCTTTGTTGTCTGTGTAAAAGTGGCTATAGCATCTTTTTGCTAGTCCTATGAACGTTAGTATGGGGTTTGCACTGTTTTCGCTCGCTTGAACCATTTGCCATATGAAGTAGACATCTTTCAGGGCTATCGGTGGTCTCGAGTATTGGAAGGTGTTTAGGATGTCGTTCATAGTCCTTCCTCGGGTTAGCCATACTGGCCCGTCACTGGCTACGAATACCTTTTTCCGTCCGCTATACCATATTTGTCGGATAAATTCCTCAAAGTTCAATTTGTCTTTCTCTTCTAGCTGGTTGTACCAATCCACTACCCGCATGGTCGAATAGAATACTGATCATGGTAGTAAAAATACCTCTATTTATTATGATACCATTGTAAATACCATGCCTCAAACTGGCATGCACACATCATACATGGAGGCTCGGGAAGAAGAGCCGAACGTATAGATACTGTAAAATAGGAATAATAACATCTGGCTTTTATTACTTTGGCGTCTTCAGCTTGTAGGTATTGGCAGATGTCGGTATTCGTTGATATGAGCACCGGTAGTCTTTTTAGTCTTGCGTCCGGTTGGTGTTTCACATGTATGTCGAACTGTCTCCCTCCTAGTAACTCCTTGAAGTCGTTGACGGTGAGTGGAGTTATCTTTGGTTCTTCGATGAGTGCGACTCCTTTGTTTAGGAGATTCATTAGGTAGAACTGGGAGTGATCTCCACTTCTTTGTACCGTTCCGTAGATGTAATTTTCCGTTAGGAGGTTTAACATCAATGATTTTCCTATAAGGGAGTGAGATGAGAGGAGTATTACAATTTATCTGTGGTAGTTTGTCCTTGAGTGAATATTGCGTTAATCCGTTGTTCCTTCTTGTTCATGATGTTAGTCACATGAGTTAGGAACTGATTCTTGTTGATATTGTTGACTTGCAGTAATCGGTCGAGCCATGTACACCCGTCTGTTGTACTGTTGGGTTTGTGACATGTTCTGTTATGGTTGTTTCTTCCAATGTATTCATCTAAACAGGTTGTTTCCTGCTCCTTTAGTAGTTTTTCTACGTAGGCCTCACATGCTAGTTCCGCTGTTTCTTTCCATGATGGTCCGTGTTCGGCGTATAAGTTCAAGCGGTCATCATAGCTGAGGGCGTCCTTCAATTCGGCTAATGTGCGGGCGTCGTACGTTTCTACCAGCTCCTTAATGAGGTCCACACGTGCTTTCCTCTTTAAGTTGCTAAATTTTTGGCCTTGTGCTCGATCGTTTCGTAGGAGCGTTGAACAATCTTACTCCGCTCGTGTTGTTGAGCGAGCGTCATGTGCGAGATGTTGTAGGTCCTGGCCAATGACAAAAATATTAGATCGGTTATGTCTGATGAGGTAGGCTGCAAACTTCTCCCAGTTGATGACCGGTTGGCAGGTGGACAAGATAGACATGTTATTGGTATTCAGGTAGCCAGCCTGGATGATTCGGGTGATCGTTCGCCGTTTATTGTTTAGATGACATTTGAACACGAAATGATAGTGATCTCCGTGATCGGCCCACAATCAGTTGGTACGGCTCTTATAGCTGAAGTTGGGCGATTGTCCTCTATAGATAAAGGTCCAAAGCTTTTCTGGACCGTTGTGCTCCTCGGTTGTTGTTGAGGATGCGTCATCCTCCGGAAATAAACTTTTCCTATACAAAGGTCAGTAGACAACGGATATACTTACCCCGGGTAGTCTGTTCTCGGTATTAGTATACCACCGAGGGGCGTGTTGTTTACGCGGTGTTTCTGGTGGTGTTTGTGTCCATCCCTGTTCGAACGCGTTAGCAATGCGTTCGTCCATCCATTGGGAAGATTGTGGTAGTCCGTCATCGTCAAACAGGTCTGGACTTGGAATATTGGGTTGTATGACGATTGTGTGGTGTTGCCATGGCAAACATCAACCAAACGCACGACTCAGAAGATTACCAATGCTCATATCCATCAACACCGAAATATGCCAGTATTTACAGTCTGAAGACGCGAAGGTGACCAAAGCCAGATTTCATTATTATCATTTTACTGTACCCATCCCATCTCCACAACTGCCCGAACCACCTTGTATGATGTGTGCATGCCACTTTAAGCCATGGTATGTAAATTGGTTTTATAATAAATAAACATATTTTTCCATGTCACCTCAGTCTGCTCTTGAAACCTCCCAGGGAATGTTGCGCGACCTTACGGACTGGTGTAGCTGCTTATCCGAACCCGAACGCATAAGCTTTGAAAAATTCTATCGGGAATTTTGGTGGGACCGAGTACGACGCCGATTTATTCGAAATCCTCTACCACCAGCACTACTATCACAACCCTTTACTGACTTATTAGGAACGTCATGGTTACCACAAATCATGAACAGACTGCAACACGTATACTTCATATGGACCACGGTACAGCAAGCAAACAATCCAGATCCACATACCTTGTTCCTACACCTCGCAAATGACTGCCACTATCATTACTGTAACCCTCGAACGGGATCCCCTAGAGCCGACCTACCGGACCTAGAAGAGCGACAATACTTTGTCTAATAACTATCTAAAGCAAAGAAACAACCACTCATCCCCAGACCGACAGTTACACCGATACCGGGAACACGTGTCGAATTACGCCCGACAGACCCCAAAATCGTTCTCGACACTGGATCCAAACTACAAATGCCACAACCACAAAACCGTCCACTTATGAAGGCAGACACGACAGCTGACGAAGATCATCCTACTACTGCTAACGCTTCTGCTCTCATGCACGCACACAAACTGTTTCGCATCCATTATTACAAACTGGACGTCAATTTTACACGCAAACAACACATCACTATCGCTCAATACAAACCACAGAATCCGCTACCACCCAATTCTACGTTATTTGCATCCCGTATCAGTTATTCGAGTTTTGGGCCATCAGTCAGGTTGGTACCAATTACAGAGAACCATACAGCAGCCTCGCAGGGACCTTCGACTACTGCCAATGTAATCACGGGAACATACGCTTTAGCCATTTCGTTCCTCTGCAGCATTCTCTACAAGGCACTACACAACAAGATGTACCCGCACTCAACACAACACCCTACGCCTACTTCAGCCAAGACAGTCTCGGTATCTTGAGCAAAGTCACTGCACTCAGTGCAATAGATGCAACTACCATGGTCAACCAACAACTAAGGCTGCCGTCTAGTGCATACTGGACTAATTCATCAAACGAAGGTCTCCTTGCACTGGACGAAACAAAAACATTTCACCAAAATGAGACACTGGAATACAACTTTAAATTTTCTTATCCACCAATACTCAAATTGCAATGTCCAAGATGGTCATCAACCGCATTCACTTCCACTGGCAACTTCCGACGACGCTCAATACGGACAATTCAGCAAAGGATTCCAATACACCTTCCTCCCTAACCAAGGAACAAACACAACTGCCAACCACGCATAAATCTCACAACACGATTTACCATTCCCATTCATCTATATTGCATGAATTGAACAAGTTAATGACAGAAACTGTTGCTCGACTATACGCACATATTCTCATGTAAACAAACCAATCAGCCAAATCCTTCAATGTCTCTAACCAACGATTGCGATTTTCCTGTGGTCCTGTGAGCCTAACGCGACCTATATGACCGAGTTTGCCGGTTGATGTTTCCTTACCCTTGTATTGGGTCTTATTTTGTTTCCTCTTTGGCTTTGTTCCACGCGCCAGATGCCTCAATAAACATCACTTGCCGTGGCAACCTGTTTGATGATAAAATATATGTGCGACCGGGCGCACGCCCGACTTGGTCTTTCTTCTGCATTTGTATCTGGTATAGGATGGGAAATGTTTTTTTCCAAATTATGTTATTTTGGCAGATAACATATGACGAGAGTTTCATTTTTGTATTGTGCCGGCGAGGGGGGGGGGAGGGGGCTCGATATCTGGAAGGTTACTCTGGCCAAACATGCCTAGACAGACAGTTAACACGCAAATTAGTGGATTCCGTATGCTTTTCTAAGTTGAGCAGGCGAACCAGACCAAAGTGCAGTGCAGTCAGTTTGGCCTCGTAGTTCAACTGCACTTTTCCAATCCCATCAAGGCTGCTAGTCTTTTGCAGTGCACCCGAGAACCGGATACTCATTCGATCGCATTGATGATATTCGCTAATGGATGGTTCGCATCTGCGTGCTTAACTGGCTGGCTGACTGGTTGACCAGTCGGTCATTGGTTGTTAATGTGCCACGTCTAAAAGCACTTGATACCAATCAATAGACGACGCATTGTGTAGTATTGTGTGACTTATGTACCAGGATATGCCATTAGAACACTGTTTTTTTTGGTCAACATCAATTGCTTTCCGACGCGGTGAAGCTTCGTGTCTCTCGCATTGCGAGTGGGCACACTTGTGCATACCCAATCGATGGTATTTCCCCCACTAGCGGATCAGATTGTTCAACCGCAGAATTGCGCGTTTAGTGTTACGATGGCTCGTTGACCAGTCTAGTTTTATTGATCGGGATCACTAGTGAACCTGGTAGCGGTTTTTGAACTGTGTTGTGTATAATATTGAGGAGAAGGCTTGTCCTGAATGATAGTATTTATTGCGACGTTTCAGTTGAATGAGTTGATCGAATCTTTATTCGCTTCAAAGATCAGATGTTCTCCTTCGTCCATCTATAGGTATATTATAGAAGAGGGTAACGTGGAAAATAGAATTACAGAGAACCAAAAAGTAAGAACAAGACATTTACGTGTGTGTTGGTTTGTTGTTTCCAAGAAGCACAAAATTTTAACAGACAGATCGTGCAGCATTCACTGAATGCTCTATTCAGCCATGTCTTTTTAGCGTCTTTGATCATCGGCAATCCCCATCCCAAAAGGTGAGCTACACTAACCGAAGCCAATACTGAGACGAACTTCTTCAAATCCCCATGCCAGGTGTAACCGCCTCGACCCTTCTTCGTGTCATCTTCCGTCTTGACTTACGACCGAGGGACAGAAAGAGAGAACACGATTGGTGGCAACAGTCAAAGCATAGTCTATGATCATGATGGGGTTCGTAAATAAATAAGGGTAAATTGGGCATAGGAGAACTGCATAGTCACACCGTACAGATTGAGCCACTTACACTCCGAATAGCCAATCGAACAACCGGTGTCTGATTCGTTCTACAGTCAATCAGCGCGGACTCGACTGGCTTTATATGTCGTCAGTGTGCTTATGGCGTGAGACAGATCCGTAAGGAGCTTGACGAATTCTGCGAGCTCCGGCCTAACGCTTTGAGCATTTCCTAGACTGCGCAAAGGGGCGTGAAGAGGA